AGCTGTCTGGCGTTGCAAGCTTCCACAGGGCTATCGCCACTCGCTTCTCAACTGTGAGGGCTGCTCTCATCTTGGTATTCATGCGCCTCAGGGCAGGGGAAAGCAAGTCACAAATTTCCATGAAAGTGCCCTTACGCATGCGAAAGTTTTGCAGCCACTGGGAATCGTCCCAGACCTGCAACACTATGCGGTCCCACCAGTCTGTGCTTGTTTCCCGAGCCCAGAATCGGCGTTCCACAGCATGAACCTGCCCCATTAGCACCATGATGCATGCATTGGCAGGGCCCATGCTTTCAGAGAAATCTGTGTCCATGTCCTGATCACTCACGTGACCGCGCTGACGTCGCCTCCTCGCCCGGTATCGCTTTGCCAGGTTCTGGTGCTGCATATACTGCTGGATAATGCGTGTGGTGTTTAATGTGCTCCTAATTGCCAAAGTGAGCTGAGCGGCCTCCATGCTTGCCTTCGTATGGCGTCCACACAGAAAAAAGGCGCGGAACGATTGTCTGCCGTTGCTCTGACGGAGGGAGGGGCGACTGACGACACGGCTTACAGGGTTGGCTTCAGGGAGCTAAAATCAACAAAGGGGGTGCCTGTACATCAAGGAGTATTTCAGGCAGGACTTCACGGAAGGTTCCAATAAGAAATGGTGCACCTAAGTTATCGTTCTTATTGGAACAAGGAGGTTAGCCTGGCCTCTGATTGATACATGGCTAGATTTACCTCGCTGCACCTTCTCTGTGAGTGACTGCAGTGTGACCTAGAGGAATGAGTCCCCTAGACAGGGGAGGAGGCAAATGAGTACAAAACAAATCTGGTCTATTTCTTGTTTTGACCCACTCCATCTATCTTTTACATCTTTGGCTGGCAGCAGACGGTGCAGAAGGACTGCATGCCATCCACATCTCATGGCTGCTCGGCAGAAGATGGTACAGTACGACTGCTAGCAGTCCGTATCGCCTGCCCGCTCACCATAAGACGGTTCAATAGGACTGACTGCAGGACTAAAGAGAATGACCTGGTCAAGTCACTCCAAATTTAGTCCCTGCGCCCATGTCTGCCCAGGCGCTCCCAGCCGATGTGGCCAGGAGCACCTCGGACATGACGATGACGGCTACCAGTGGGTTCCAAAACTCTGTGAATTGAGAGAGACTGGGGATAAGTATTAATACTTGGTGGTATGGGCCTTACATGCTAATTGCACTTCCTCCTCTCTCCACTGTGGAATATCAGAGCTAATTTTGATTTCATTAGAAGTCTAGTTACAGGCTGCTGAGCTCACTTTGGGCTAATAGTGCACCAGCACTGAGGCTCCCCTACTACAAGCTGAATTCACCAAAGAGCTGAACTGACTAAGAGCTGAAATCACTGAGTGTTGTGTTAAGTAGTGGGGGAGCCTGAAGATATATTGTGGAGCATTTTGTGGGATGGCTGGAGTGCCTTGTAGACAGGCTGGTGGAGCAGTTTGTAGGATGGCGGGAGCTGCTGCTGGTGGGATGCGGAGCAGTTTGTGGACTGGCTGGTGGAGCAGTTCGTGGGACAGCGGGAGTTGCTTGTCGGCCACGGAGCGGAGCAGAGCTGAGTGAAGGCCTATGGAGCTGTGGGGCGGTCAGCTTCAGATCATGTAAGGTGCCTCTTACCCCTGCCCCATCTCTACCCAGGTTGGGAGGTAAAGCTCTGCAGATAAACTTTCGAACTCTGGGGCTGCCCTGATCAGGGACAGAGACTTTTGGGACTTTGGGTGATTTGGGGTTGCTGGACTCAAGAACCAGTTGTGTTATGAATCCTGTTGGTGGTGTTTCCCCAACATAATGCCACATTGTTTCTCTCTGTTATTAAAAGGCTTTTTGCTACACTCAGACTATGTGCTTGTGAGAGGGGAAGTATTGCCTCTTGGAGGCGCCCAGCGGGGGTGGTATATATTTGTCCCAGGTCACTGGGTGGGGGCTCGAGCCGGTTTGCATTGTGTTATTGGAATGGATCCCCTAGATATTGAACCCGGCCCTTGTTGCTGCCAACTCTGACGGGCAGAAGGGTTACATATATTATACATGCACATAGATAGATGTTAAGGTTGAGAATACATATAATTAATTTAGTGTAAAACCCAGATGTAATTATTCCCAAAACATTAAAAAGCCAAGAAATTAGAGAGTTAAGGTTACATTAAAAAAAATCCAAACATGTTCAAGTATGGAAATGCATAGGTCAGTCATCCAAATGACCTTAATTCTGCTCCACAGCAACACTAATGCAATAACCATATGTTTCAGGCATTTTAGTGTTTGTGATACAAAGCTGAATTAAACTAAATTTAAACACACAGTTTATTTTTTTTTCCTTTACAGTCGCACTACAGGACAGTCACCATAGTTGAAGTATCAACCTTTCATTATTTATTTTAATTTCTATGGCCAGATACCCTGAAATGCTATGGCTGCATTATGTCATCTTGCAACAGTGCAAAGCACCCATAACATACTGGATAATTAGACTGAGATAATTACACATGAAGACACACACACACACACACACACACTTTTCCCTCCCTCCTGCCCTCCATGCACATACAACCCTCTACTGCCTTTCTTATGGAGTAGATCTCGTGTAACAGTTAGCTTAAAAAAAAGTACTAAAAATTAATGGTCATTTTTGTCATTATTCTTCATAGTTCAAAGTTTCTCCTTCAGCAGAAAAATGCTCTATTTCATCCAATTCTACTAGGAACTGATCTTTCAAAATGGGAAAACTCTCTCTACAGTTTTCAATAGGATTGAGGCCACAGGTTGCCATCAAATAAGATGTTCTCTTTCAAAATGGCCACCCCTCTCATTATTCCAAATAGGAGTTAAAACAATCTGCCCTGACCAAAGATGGTGGCTCACTGTACTTTCAGGAGATTGACTAGAAAACTGTGAAGTGCAGGTGAATGGAGGCAGTGGACATATTTGCTAAGGGCAGCCTGTGGTCTCAGTTCAATTGGGAACAATAGGACATGACAGTCTTTTTGACAGAGGGCAAGTTTTTTGGTAGAATTTTCTGTAATACAATATTATCCGTAAGCTACTGCTGAAGGAGCAACTTTCACTTTTGAAGAATGGCAAAAAATGACCATTAATTCTAAAATGTCTGCAAATGTAGCCAATACACAAGATCGTAGTGATTTTAGCTACATAGGGAAATTGAAAAGTCTGCATTACTAGATTATTCTCATCATTTGGGACTGAAGATCACATACAGTGTTAAATTTCAAGGACTCCCTATAAAATGAATAATTTACAATTAAATACATTAGTTTGAGCTCTCAGAAAATACATCCTATAAAAAGTATAGGAAGTAATTTTAATAAAATGTGTTAATGACTTTTCAGATTCACAGAATTTAAGGCCACAAGGGACCATTCGAAAATCTAGTCTGCCATCCTGTACAACACAGGCCACAGAATTACATTCAGTTACCCCTGTACTGAACCCAATAACTTGTGTTGAATTAAACCTTATCTTCCTGAAAGTCATCCAGGCTTAATATGAAGTATTCAAAAGATAGAGAATCCGTCACTTCTCTTGTTAGTTTGTTGCAATGGTTAATCACTCTCACTGTTAAAAATACATGCCTTACCTCTAGTTTGAATTTGGCTTCACCTTCCAGTCTTGATATGGTTCTTGATATGTCTTTCTCTGTTAGATTAAAGAGCCCTTTGGTACCATATTTTCTCCCCATGAAGGTTCTGATAAAACTATAATGATTTCCTTTTTGATAAACTAAATCTCTTTCTCTCTCTCACTGTAGGGTATTTTCTCAAGCCCTCAAATAATTTTGTGGCTCTTCTCTGCACCCTCTCCAATTTTCAACATATTGTACAGTGATCAAATTACCACCCCAGTCCTACTCACTTGTTTATATATCTAAGAATCACAGAGTCTTTTTTAGTACATTACCACACTGGATGTTCATGCTGACTTGTGTCCACTACAATCTCTCAATGCTTTCTGGTCACTACTACCCAGGATACAGTCCCCTATTCTGTAAGTATGGCCAATACTCCTTGTTTCTCAATGTTTGACCTTCCATTTCGCTATATTAAAATCAACTGTTTGAATGAATTACCCACTCATCCAGATCACTCTGTATGACTGCCCTCCATCATCATTAGGTATTTACCACTCATTAATCTTTATGGGATCTGCATATTTTACCCGCTGTGATTTTATATTTACCTCCAGATCACTGATTAAAAGGTTGAATAGGATTGGAGCTAGAACCTGTTCCCTATGAAACCCCACTAAAAACACCCCTGTATAATGATTCCCCAATGACCGCTATTTTTTGAGATCTTTCAGTTAGCCAGTTCTTAATCCATTTAACATGTGCTTTATTGATATTGTATTGTGCATTTTTTAATCAGAATGCCAAAAGTCTATTAACACGTGTAGTTACCAGTGTTACTTTTATCTATCAGACTTGTAGTCTCATCAAACCATGAAATCAGGTTTTGCTTAAGAGCTATTTTCCATAAAACAAAGTTGACTGGTTTTACTTCCATCCTGTACATTTTTTAAAATTGAAACCCATAACAGCTTTTCCATTATTATGCCCAAAACTGATGTCAGGCTTGTGACAGGTTTGGTCACACAGACCCCCTTGGTACTGTCACCTGATGTGCTGAAATTACCTCTGAGCCCATTTTCCCTGCCAGCTTGGGACTCTAGAACTCTGCCTTGATAAGCCAGACATGCTAGCCTGCTGCAACACAGACCCAGGTCTGGTCCATGCCCTCAAAGCTGCAGACTTTAACTAAAAACTGCTCAGCAGGTTACTTGCCTCCAGCACCAAGACACCCAGCTCCCAATGGGATCCAAACCCCAAATAAACCCATTTTACTCTTTCGAAAGCTTATACAGGGTAAACTCATAAATTGTATGCCCTCTACAACACTGAGAGAGAGATATGCACAGCTGTTTGCTCCCCCAGGTATTAATCACTTACTCTGGATTCATTAATAAATGAAAGTCATTTTATTAAGTATACAAAGTAGGATTTAAGTGGTTTCAAGTAATAACAGACAGAACAAAGTAAGTCACCAAGCAAAATAAAGCAAAAACACGCCAGTCTAAGCCTAACACATTAAGAAACTGATTACAGGTAATATCTCACCCTCAGAGATGTTCCAATAAACTGCTTTCACAGACTAGACTCCTTCCTAGTCTGGGCCCAATCCTTTCCCCTGGTACAGTCCTTGTTAGTTCCAGCAGACATCTTAGGTGTAAAGCAGGGGCTGTCTCATGACTAGCAGCCCCCTTTGTTTTGCTCCACCCCCTTTTATAGCTTTGGCACAAGGCAGGACTCTTTTGTCTCTCTGGGTCTCCACCGCTCCTTCTAAATGGAAAAGTACCAGATTTAAGATGGATTTCACTATCAGGTGACATGGTCACATGTCACTTTAAGACCTCATTCTTCATTACCCACGGGCTGGCCCACACATACACAGGAAGGCTTGCAGGTAACTAAACCATCCGCAACCAATTGTTCTAGTCAATGGGAGCCATCAAGATTCTAAACCACCGTTAATGGCCCACACTTTGCAAAATTACAATAGGACTTCAGTGTTATGCTTCATATTTCTAGCTTCAGATACAAGAATGATATATGCTTACAAATAGGATGAACACACTCAGTAGATTATAAGCTTTTTAATGATACCTTACAAGAGATCTTTTGCATAAAGCATATTTCAGTTACACCATATTCACGTTCATAACCATATTTTCATAAAGCATATGGAGTGCAACGTCACAAGGCTAACCAGGCTATAATTACCCAGGTAATCCTGCTCACCCTTTCTGAGTATTTGCACAAATTAGCACTCTTCCAGTCTTCGGAAATTTCCCCAGTATTGCAAGTTTTATTAAAAGTTAACATCAATGAGTCAGAGATCTCCTCACAAACTGTTTTAGAGCTTTGGGATGCAAGTTATCCAGCCCTGCTGGTTTAAATAGGTTTATCCTTAATAGATGCTGTTAAACATTCTCCTTATTCATTAATGGCCTGGAAAGTAATTAATCATCCTCATGTGTTACACGCATATCATCCTACTTCTTTCCAAACAGAGAAAGAAAATATTTATTGAACACTTGTCCTTTTCTGCATTATTAACAATGTTACCACATCTAGCTAGTAAAAGGCCTATTCTACTAATAAGAGGCCACTACTAGGATTTCATTTGCTCCTGATATACTTAAACTCTTTCTGATTGTCCTTAGCCCTGCCAGCCATGGATTTTTCCCTAGTGTCTTTAACTCCCCTTATCAATTTTCTAAACTTCATATCTTCTAAGATGAATTGATCACTGGACTGGAATTTGGTGGTTGACTAGGATCCAGTGATTATGACCTGATAACATTCAATATGGGCAAACAGTGGACATTCCCAAATAACTGATTGGGAATGCCCATTGTTTGGCCATTTTGAATATCAGGTCATGATCGCTGGATCCAAGTCAACCACCAACTTCCAGTCCAGTGATCAATTCATCTTTATCCCTTATACTGAGATCCAAAAAGTTGGGTACAATACCTTTTTTGTTAGATAAGGTATCATCATTCTTATTTGTATTGCCATAGTGCCTAGGAACCCTTGTCACAGACTAGGGCCCCATTTTGCTATGTGCTGTACAAACATGGAACAAAAAGATGGTCCCTGCCCCAAGATCTTACATTCTAAGTATTGCACCCAGTATCTAATTTGTAACCCAAAACTTTTTGGTTTGCAAAAGGTAAACATTTTTAGAAACTCTAATGATGTTGTGCTGGTGGCTGCATGAAACTGACAGCATAAGTCTCCCAAACTGAAGTCCCTCATAATAATATTTTTACCTACATACAAGTGTTTAAGGAGTAGCTCATCCTGTTCTTTGGTTCAATTTGGTGGTCTGTAACAAACCCCCACTGTAAGGTCTGAGGGTCTTTTCTACAGTAAGCAGCAGCAGCCAGAATAGGAAAGCAGCAGCCATGAATTAAGAAGCAGAGAGTCACATCCTCACATTCCATCTAAATTACATCAAAACAATGTAATAGCAGACTATTAAGAAGGCACTCCTGTCCTAATAGTACCCACCATCACCAGATAAAGAAAAAAACGGTTACCTATCTTTCGTAACTGTTGTTCTTCAAGGTGTGTTGCTCATGTCCATTCCATGCTAGGTGTATACGCGCCCATGTGCACAGCTGCTAGAGACTTTTTGCTTTAGTGATATCTGTAGGGCTGGCTCTGGCGCCCTCTGGAGTGCCACGCTCATGCGCCGGTATATTAGGCACCACCATCCCTGCCCCCTCTCAGTTCCTTCTTGCCATCAATTCTGACAGTGGGGACAGAGGGCGGGTCATGGAATGGACATGAGCAACAAATCTTGAAGAACAACAGTTACGAAGGGTAGGTAACAGTTTTTTCTTCTTTGAGTGCTTGCTCAGGTCAATTCCATGTTAGGTGACTCACAAGCAGTTTCCCTGGAGGTGGGCTCAGAGTTAATGATCTTGCAGCTTGCAACACTGCTCTACTGAAACTTGTGTCATCCCATGCCTGTTGGGTAATGACATAATGGGATGCAAAGGTGTGGACCGAGGACCAGGTCGCAGCTCTGCAGATGTCCTATTTCAGAACTTGTGCAAGGAAAGCTGTTGATGAGGTCTGAGCTCTGGTAGAACGGGTGGTCACAGTAGCTGGCGGTGACACCCTGCTTGCTTATAGCAGAACTTGATACATGTGGCTATCCATGAGTAGATACCCTGGGCGGAAACCGGCAGGCCTTTCATCCTGTCTGCCACTGCAACAAAGAGCTGCGTCAATTTAGGAAAGGACTTGGTTCTCTCAAGGTAGAAAGCCAGCACCCTTCTAACACCAGGGTATGTAGCCTGAGTTCCTCGCTAGACTTATGAGGCTTGGGATAAAATACCAGCAGGAATATATCCTGATTATTGTGGAACGGTGACACCACCTTCAGCAAGAAGGCTGGGGGGGGCCCACAGCTGGACCATATCCTTGTAGAACATCATATACAGTGGTTCTGATGTGAGCGCTCTAATTTTGGAAACTCTGCAGGCTGAAGTGATTGCGATCAGGAAGGAAACCTTCTTCAAGAGGAGTAGCAGAAACACAAAGATAATGGCTCGAAGGGTGGCCCTGTGAGCTTAGGCCACACCAGGTTTAGATCCCAAGGCAGGATAGGGTCATGAACTTCAGCATAAAGTCGCTCTATGCCTTTCAGAAATCTGACCGTCATATCATGGGAAAAAAGCAGATCTGCCCTGAACCAGCGGATGAAAGGCCAAGATGGCCACTAAGTGGACCCTGATTGATGAAAGAGTCAGACCTTGGTGCTTTAGATGCAACAGGTAGTCTAGGATGGATTGTAGTGAGATCTGGTGTGGAGGTAGGTTCTGGCCCAAGACCCAACATGAAAAACGCTTCCATTTGGCCAGGTAGGTAGCCCTGGTGGAGGGCTTGCCCTGAATCGCCCCAAAGGTGTTCACAAAGTGTATGGCCATAGTGGCCACTTACCTGAGGTGTCGAGGGGTGTCCTTACCTTGATAACTGACTGGTCAGAGACAGGTCACAAACTCAGGTGCAATGCAGCCTCAACTTGGTGAGGTTCACCTCTCAGGATCTGGGCCTGCTTATAAACCAGGGGTGGGCAAACTTTTTGGCCTGAGGGCCACATTGGGGTGCAAAACTGCATGGAGGGCCGGGTAGGGAAGGCTGTGCCTCCCCAAACAGCCTGGCCCCGCCCCCTATCTGCCCCCTCCCACTTCCTGCCCCCTGACTGCCCCCCTCAGAACCTCCCACCCATCCAACCCCCCTGCTCCTTGTCCCCTGACTGCCCCCTCCTGGGACAACAGCCCCCCAGGACCCCACCCCCTATATAACTCCCTCCCTGTCCCCTGACTGCCCCCTCCAAACCTCTGCCCCATCCAACCTCCCCCTGTCCCCTGACTGCCCCCCGGGACCCTCTGCCCCTTATCCAACACTCCAGCCCCTTACCATGCAGCTCAGAGCAGCATGTCTGGCTGCCATGCCACCCAGCTGGAGCCAGACACGTTGAGCGGGCAGCCCCGCTGCCCAGAGTGCTGCCCGCGTGGCTGCGGGGGAGGGAGGACAGGAGGGGAGGGACTGAGAGCTAGCCTCCTGGGCCAGGAGCTCAGGGGCCGGACAGGACGGTCCCGTGGGCCGTAGTTTGCCCGCCTCTTATAAACTAACAGAAATCAACTCTGTCACCAGTGCAACGGATAGAGTTTATAGGAGCAGTACTCAATTCTACCCCAGCCAAGGCCTTCCTTCTAGAGTCTAGGTTCTGAGCCATGTCGGACCTCATAACCCACATGTGAACCCACCTGCTCACAACTGCCCGCGTATGGATCAAGCTGCTAGGCTACATGGCAGCAGGTACTTACATGGTCCGGCATGCATGTCTGCATTTCAGACCCCTGCAAGTGTGGCTGGTTTCAATCTACATGCCAGGCAGACGCGATTTGGAACAGGTGATTACAGTCCCATCACACATCCTGGCTTCCCTGGGGTGGAGGATGGAACCCCAATCAGTGTTGGAGGGCACTCCCTTCATGAACCCATGTCCTGTAGTAACCTTTGTCTCCAATGTATCAGACTTGGGCTGGCGAGCCCACCTCAGCGACATCAGCATGCAAGTTCTTTGGTTGCAGAAAGATCGTTCCTTGCATATAAACATCAGGGAGCTCAAGGCAGTTTGGCTGGCCTGTCAAGCTTTCCTCCACTTTCTGGAGGGCAAGGTCTGAGTCATGGACAGACAATACCATGGTGATGTTTCACATCAACAAGCAGGGCGGAGTCCGCTTGTTAGGCCTGTGCCAAAAGGCTTTCCAGCTATGGGACTTCTGCGTCCAGTACGCCATTCATCTCATGGTGTCTCACCTGCTTGGCACCAAGAATGCATTGGCAGATCATCTCAGCAGGTCTTTCTTGCCTTGCCACAAGTGGTCTCTTCACCCATAGGTGGTCAGCTGCATTTTCCAAAGGTGGGGGACTCCCCACGTGGACCAGAACAGGAAGCGTCACCGGTTCTGCCTGATCCACAGGCACGACAGAGGTTTCCTGTCCAAAGCCTTCCTGTTCCTGTGGTCGGGAGCAAAGGTTATCCTGATAGCTCCGGTGTGGCTGCATCAACTTCAGCACGCTGTTAGAGCTTTTGGTAGCAGCCCCATTGGAGCTCCTGCTCCAGCTGGACCTGCTGTCGCAGAACCACGGCCTTTTGCTGCACCTGAATCCAGCACCCCTCCACTTGACGGCATGGTTGCTGCATGGCTGAATGTGGAGGAGCAGGCTCGCTCACGCAGGGCCATGAACTAGTACTGGCACTGACCCACTACAAAGCGCAGAAACCTTCTGTGTCCTTGGAAAATGGAGATATAGAAATAAGCATCCTTCAAATTGAGGGCGGCAAACCAGTCTCCTGGATCCAGAGAAGGAATGATGGAGGCCAGGGAGACCATGTGGAACTTCAACTTCTGAGATATTTGTTGAGGCGACACAGGTCTAGAATGGGTCTGACGCCCCTTTCGGCCTTCAGGATTAGGAAATACTGAGAGAAAAACCTTTTCCCCTCATGTCTTGAGGGACTTCCTCTACAACCCCCACCCTTAGGAGGGTTTCTACCTCCTGGACGAGGAGTTGCCCCAGAGAAGGGTCCCTGAAGAGGGACGTGGAGGTGGGGTGGGAGGGAGGAAAACTGCAGGGTATACCCAGAGGTTTCAGTGCTCAGCACCCAGCGGTTCAAAGTAATTCGGAACCAGGCAGTACGGAAAGGGAATAAACGATTGAAAAATAAACGGGTGGGGAAGGGGGGCTGGATCTGATAAATCTGGTACTCCGTCCTTGGGCGCACCCTCAAAATGCCTATCTCGGGCCACCTGACTGACATGCAGAGCCTGATTGGGAGGCTGAGGATGGGGTGGGACAATGGTATTTGAAGCCCTTGTCTCTGTCCCTTCTCCTGTAGGAGCCTTGTCTCAAGGAGCCCGAGACCCTCAGTGATGGGGGAGAAGGCCGGAATGACTTCCTGGAGGTCTGCGGTGTGGAAAGCCCCATGGAGCGGAGCATGGCATGGGAGTCTTTCAGGCCTTGTAGCCTGGCATCCGTTTGCTCCAAGAACAGAGCATTGCCTTCAAATGGGAGGTCTGGATGGATTGCTGGACCTCCAGGGAGAGGCCAGAGGACTGCAGCCACAAACTCTGCCTCATCGACACAGCCATAGCCATAAACCTGGCTGCCAAGTCTGCCACATCCAAAGCGGTATGGAGTGAGGCCCTGGCTACTGACCTGCCTTTCTCCAGAATAGACGTGAACCCTTGGCCCAGGTCTTGCGGCAGGAAATGTTTAAATTTTGCCAGCGAGTCCCGCAAGTTGTAATTATATCTACCCAGCAGCGCCTACTGGTTAGATATCCTCAGCTAGAGGCGCGCAGTCAAATAAATTTTCCTTCCAAAGAGGTCCAACATTTTTGCATCCTTATTTTTAGGCGTGGCTCTTGCCTGTCCCTTCCTGTCCTTTTGTTCACCACTGATACTATGAGTCAACCCGGGGGTGGGTGGGAGTATAGGTATTCATAGCCTTTGGCGGGCACGTAATACTTCTTTAAAGCCCTCTTTGATATGCGCAGCAAAGAGGACAGGGTTTGCCACAGGGCCTTTACTACCTTTGATCACCCCTTTATTCACAGGTAATGCCATCTTGGCAGGTGTTGCGGTGCCAAGATGTCAAAGAGGCTGTCTGCTTGTTCTGCAAGCTCCTCAGCCTGTAGGCCCAGATTTGAGGCCACCCTTTTAAGCAGTTCTTTGTGGGCCATAAAGTCATCGGGAGGGAGTGGGTGAGATGGGCCCATGACCACCTCATCAGGGGAAGAGGAAGGTAAACCGGGGAGGGGCTGGGCCACACACACTACCCCAAGAGAGTCTTCCCCAGCAACTGACGTCTGTCATCAGGTACCAGAATCAGAATCCGATTCCAGGTCTGGTCCTGGTGCCAATGGTACTGCAGACAGCTTCTTGGAGGGCCCCACTGAGGAACGTTGTGAGTATGGCCCTGGCATTATGGGGAGGCTCCAGGGATTCCAATAAGGCCACTGGATCAGCCACTGGCTCTGTGGCCAGGCACCCATCGCGGGCTCTGCCATGTCTGGTGCCCCAGTGAATGGTTCCCCCTTTGAATTCTGGGGAAGACTCCTCCCTTCCTTACCCTGGAGGTGCTGTCAGAGCCTCCCTCTGCCATCAAGGCTGGAGAATGGTGCTGGGGTCATGGTGATTGGTGGTACCATGTAGGTGGAGACTGATAGTGGGATGGTGGTGAGAGCTGACGGACTGGGGACTGGGGTGTGGGTGACCTGCGCCGAGGAGATGGCAACTGCTGTCTTTAAGATGCAGGTCAGTGCCAAGGAGATTGAAGTCTCACCAGTGATGAATCACATCGTCTGAGAACACGAAGGTGGTGATGGACTGGTGCCAAGTCTCCGGGGATTGATGGTGCCTGCGGAACCTTTGCCACCTCCACTGGCTGGGAGTCTTGTCATGTAGGTGGTACCGTGAGAGCCATGAGGTCTCTCACCACCTGAAACGCCTCTGGCATCGAAGGCACCATCAACCACGCTGGCCCCCTACCACTCCCAGGAGTCGGAGGCAGGTTCTTGGATGGGCTAGGGGCTCTTGAGGCTGCCACCCCTGGGCTCTCAAGTGCAGGCAGGTGGCCCGACATGGGTCCTTTGCCTGCTGATTGTGCCTTGTCCTCATTAGAAGCTGGGGAGCGCCCCCACTGCTTTATGTGCTTCCTGGGCACCGGTGACAGGGAGTGGTGCCATGGAGAGCTCGGAGCTGGAGGGGCACTCCAAACTGACCTGGACATGTTCTGTGCTGAGTCAGACCTGGAGGGGTCTGACGCCGGTCTAAGAACTGCCTCCATTAATAGTGCATTTAAGTGGATGTCCCTGTCCTTTTGGGTCCTTAGCTTAAGGTTTTACAAATTCAGTACTTGACCTTGACATGCGCTTCCCCCAAACACTTCAAGCAGCTTGTGTGAAGGTCGCTAACCTGCATCGGCTTATTACAAGCAGAGCACAGCTTGAAACCCGGGGACTGGGGCATGCCTTATCCCTGGAACAACGTCTCAACAGGGAATCATAGAATATCAGGGTTGGAAGGGACCTCAGGAAGTCATCTAGTCCAACCCCCTGCTCAAAGCAGGACCATTCCCCAATTTTTGCCCCAACTCCCTAAATGGCCCCCTCAAGGATTGAACTCACAGCCTTGGGTTTAGCAGGGCAATGCTCAAACCACTGAGCTATCCGTCCCCCCACTCTAACTGTAACTAACTCTACCTTAACTGCTAACAATACTAACTATCCAAAAACTATAGTACACAAACAGTTCGAAGAGACCACTATCACACTTGCTGAACAAGGGCGAAAGAGGCGTTCCAGCATCTGTCAAGGGCGACAAGAAGAAACTGACAGGGCGCAGGGCTGGTAGCGCCTAATATACTGGTGCATGAGCGTGGCACTCCAGAGGACACCAGAGCCAGCCCTCTGGATACCACTAAGGAAAAGTGTCTGGCAGCCGTGCACGTGTGCGCACACACACCTAGCATGGAATCGACATTAGCAAGCACTCAAAGAACAAATCTTAAGATGGTTAAAGAAACTTTGTTTGACAGCATTCTGTCTCGCCAGGAATCATTGAACAGCTGTGATTGTGAAATCTATACTTTAGTGTTTTGCCTTTATGGTCCCTACTTCTCTATTGTTTATCTGTATGGACTCTGTCTGATTCTTTAATTATTTCTATCTGTTGCATAATTAATTTTGCAAGATTTAAATCAGCTAAGGTGGCGGAGTGTGACTGGTTAAAGAATTGTTTCGTAAGGGGCTAGGATTGGTGAAAAATACTGCTTCGTAGTACTTTACTTGAAAATGATTGGTTAAAGTATAGCTAAGCAGGACTTAGTTTAACTATGTAACTGGAGTCCAAAAGGAAATTCTTTGGAACCTAACTCCAGCACATAGCCCAAGATCAGAGCTGCCAGACCTCAACACTGCCGAGCATACCATGCAGAAGCTGGAGCCCTGGACGACTTGATCCTGACTAGCCACTAAGGAAAGTTCGTCTGCCTTATTCGGAGTGGTGAGCATTGCATGCTTAGCCTATGTGTTCTGTTTTGGTAACTGTTAATAAACAAACAGAGGTTAAGGATATTATTGTGTAAGGCTCTTTCACTGGTAAAGACCTCACAAACACGCAGAAGATTATGCCCTGATCCCTGGGAACTGGGTCAGGGTGGGTGCCTTTCATCCAGAGCCCTATAACTGGGAAAGGGTGGGAGTGCCTAAATTAACCGTGTTATGCCTTGAGTGCACAGAAGGGTAAATGCGGGGTGCCCTAGAGTGTGTGGGAACACCCACCATTCATCAGTATCCCTCCTGGGCTTTGTTAGTAAGCACGTTAATCCATATGATCAGTACAGCTGGGAAAAAATAATGGCAAATATTTTACTCACCAGAAAGTACAATTTTGTTTGACCCAAAATGATTTGCGTTGAGTTTGCCCAGTTATGACCGAACCAAAAAAAAAAAAAAAAAGAAATGTTTTGGAGATGTTGAAACAAAGCATTTTGTTTTCATATGACGGCTTTTCATTTTGATTTTTGAAATTTTAACAAAAGTAAAGGAGGACTAGATTCACCAAATGGTTTTTCCCTCAAGCTCTCCTGTTGAAGCTATTCCACCTTTTATAAATAAGTATTTCTTAGAGCAGACTTGCACTTGAGACTCCCACATCCCAGGCAGTGCCCTAACTACTAGGGTAAAAACTATGAGGAGATCACCATAACCACCTCCTCTTCCAGCTGTTTTCTGAATCTAGTCCTCCCCAGCCTTTGTTAAAATGCCCAAAATCAAACAAAAAAATCCAAGTTGAATAATAACAAAAAATGTTTCATATGACCCTACTAGAAATTTTTCCAACTTTTCAATTCACAAAAAAATTGGAAATTTTTCATTTTCAGTTTGATTTTTTGGAAATGCTAGCGAACCTAAGAAGATTCACCTAGGTCATCTTCTGATTTATCAATAACTCTAAAATAGGTAATGGTGTCTTTAATGTAGAGTGCAACCCTATCCTCCACCAACAACTCTTTTACTCACTGAGGGGATCTACAGAAGGTTTCTGTGTCATCCTCCACAGGTCAGAGCCAAGACCCACAATCACAGACCCTGGCAAATGCTGGGGTGTTTGTTTCAATGGGTTTTATTTAATTCCATATTTTACAAGGTGGATCTGGATTCCCAAACTTCCCATCATCAGGAGAACAAAGGATCTTGGACAGCAACAGGGATTGGGGAACTCTGGGGCAGAAGCACAGGTAATACAAACCAGCTCCACCTAAGCTCACGAATGCTTCCTCTTTCCTGTAAGACACAGTACACTACCCATTCCTGAGATATTCCCCCAGAAGGGGAATAAATGAGACTCAGGTTCTCTCTAAACTCCCTCCTCTCCCACATACAACAGAGACCACTTGGTACTGGAGGTGATAGTGGAATGTAAGGTAGGGCAGGGAAGGACTAAGGGATCCAACTTTTCAACCAACCTGTAAGATGAAGAGGTGGCCTGCTTACCCCCCACGCCCAGGGAAGATCTAATAAAATCAGGAGCCTATAAAGTTTGGGGAGACTTACCTCCTTCCCCTGGGCATTCAGGTAATCTTTCACTTCCCTGACTAAGTCTGGCTTCCCCAAGGAGAGATGCAGGCAATGGACTCTAAGTGGGGTGAAGGGTGAGCCAGGGAAATCAGGGGACCATCCAACCCCTAGGAATCTGGGGGCTACCTAGTTACCCTCATTCCCTCTGGGATTCAGAGACCTGTTCTAGAACAGCACACAAAGGACCTCCAAGGGGAATCTGAAGGTAGCACGGGATACAGAACACATTGGAACTGTCATGAGGGCACAGCCCATTCAAAGGTCACCCTAACCACAAACAGGGCAAGACTCCCCGCAACCTCAAGGCCCAGGGGCTGGGGGAGCCTTGATGAGGCCCTAGTAGAAGAGATGGGACTCTGGCCACTGCACCAGGGGGCTCTAGGGATTTTATTTCTTCTTCCTCTCCTGGGAACAGCGAGGGCAGAACCTGGTAGGAAAAGGAAAGAGAAGGCAGCAGTTATGACGTGGGAGGGACCCACCAATACACAAAGCCTATGGGACCCTCCTTAGTGCCCCCCAAATACAGCCACACACACAGAAGCCCTTAAACACACACAACCCCCAATAACTCTTCATTGAGATGCAGTCCCAACACCCCCTAACATCCATAGTCACCCCGCCCCAGAACGTTCCGCTCCAGACACCCATGGGACTCCCCAGTGATTTATAGCCTCGAAACCTCTGATGTCCTTGTTTCAGCACCCACTCACCATTTCCCTCTTGGCTTTGTCGTCAGGCCCACACAGGCGAAATGGAACCATTCGATGGAGCACTGATGTGGGATGAAGAGCACAGAGTCAGTCGTACAGTAGAGTTTCCTTCCCTCCTGAGTCTTTTGGGGGCTACCAACACCCCCTCAGCATTTGATCACATAACCTCCCCTTGCAACTCCTCAGCAGTGACCACATCAATATTCAGGATTGTGGAAGTGGATTGAGAAACTCACCTAATTCCTACTCTGTTTTAAGGCTTCCCTCCTCCTGGATTCCAGACTTGTCCAGGACAAAAATCTGTCCCTTAAGGGTCTCTCTAAAATGAGCATCCTCCTTAATTCTCCCCTCTCACATAATCTGTACATACACCCTCGACCTGCAGGTGTCACTGCTTGAGATAGCAGGACCCACATAAGCAGAACCGGATTTCCAGTGTGAGTCTCACCCCGCCCCCATTCTCTCCAAGCCCAGTATCTTACATCAGGGTTATCACAGCCAATCATCTCCCCATAGGAGACCTGGTGGCACAGGCAGTAGGTGGGTTCATTGGGATCCACAGGCATATCCAGCACATCTGAGGGGTGCACATTTCCAAATGTCACTGAGGGCATCCCATACTCCGTGCTGCTGCAGGGGAGAAGGAGGAATCAGGTCAGCAAAGTCACCAGGGTGGGGGCACCCCCACACTTCACCCGGGGAGACCCTCTGCTGTGGACTCCACCTTGACAGAAACAGAAAGAGACCCTTCCCCACATAACACAACTGCAGAAATTCACTATCCCAGGTCCTGTCCTCACAGCAAGGACCTGACCTCTCCAGGCCTCTATCTCCTTCCAGAGGGAAGGATATTTCTCTCACTAGGAGTCCCAGCCTACCCGGGCTCTTGCTCTAACTGCTCCAGGGCACAGCAGGAACAAGTGGGATGGATGAGCCATTGGTCTGATCTGGGTGAAGTCAGGGGATCGCTTATGATCTGGATGAGGGATGGATTGCACCCTCAGCAAGTTCTCGGATGACACTAAGCTGGGGGGAGAGGTAGATATGCTGGAGGGTAGGGACAGGGTCTGGAATGACCTAGACAAATTGGAGGATTGGGCCAAGAGAAAACTGATTAGGTTCAACAAGGACAAGTGCAGAGTCCTGCACTTAGGACGGAAGAATCCCATGCACTGTTACATGCTGGGGACTGATTGGCTAAGCGGAAGTTCTGCAGAAAAGGACCTGGGGATTACAGTGGATGGGAAGCTGGATTTGATAGCAGCCTTCAACTAACAGCCCTCCACCCCACTAACGGGGGGTTCCAAGGAGGATGGAGCTAGGCTGTTCTCAGTGGTGGCAGATGACAGAACAAGAAGCAATGGTCTCAAGTTGCAGTGCGGGAGGTCTAGGTTGGATATTAGGAAAAACTATTTCACTAGGAGGATGGTGAAGCACTGGAATGGGTTATCTAGGGAGGTGGTGGAATCTCCATCTTTAGAGGTTTTTTAAGGCTTGGCTTGACAAAGCCCTGGCTAGGATGATTTAGTTGAGATTGGTCCTGCTTTGGGTAGAGGGTTGGACTAGATGACCTCCTGAGGTCTCTTCCAATCCTAATCTTCTATGATTCTATGACAAAGGGCAGGACCTGACCATTGGTTTGATCCTGATTAGGGGTGTAGCCAGCCGCAGCCCCCATCCATGGCTTGACCCCCCCAGGCAGCAGCAGCTCCTGCTCCATGGGGAAGAGGTGCAGCCCATGGCTCCCTCTGCATCTGCCCTGCCAAGCAGTCCGTGCCTGTGTCTGTGTCGACCTCCTGTCACGTCGTTACCTTGCTTTTGAAGTGCAGTTTGCACAGTTTCCTATCTGAACCACAAATAACAGCAGAAGTCCTTGCGAACGTGAGGGGCTTGCTTAAAGCTATATTACCAATTGTATTCATGCTTATGAACATGTAATCAATATATAAGGAGTGAGATAGTATGAGTGTAAGAAACCAATCGCAAGGCTTGAACTGAAATATTACCATGTAAGGATAATCAAGGTGTATATGGGACTGTATATAAACCTACAGCAGTAGCGGCCAGAGAGAGATGTAACCTACGACAGCAAAAACTCAGGACCGGACCGGAAGCAGTAGAGCCCTCCCACAGACCCGAAGGGGCTTCGGGGACTCTCGTCGCCTAGCGGTTCGATCTCTGGGAAGCTGGAACCTGGCCAGTCTCAGTCACCTAAGATCGAAAACAACACCTGCGTCTACAGCCTGCCAGTATGCATGGAATGTGTGTGAGTATAACTACGCAAATAATGGAAGTAAGCAATAAATCAACCCTCAATACTGTTTCAATTCGACCTTTGTTTGTGGTTATTTCTTGGCTGGTTCCAAGAAAGAGTAACAAGGGGAACCTTGATGGACCCACTGGTCTGACTTAACTTGTGTGGTTACCCCCCATTCCCTAAGTCTCCCTGTCACTTACGTGCGGACGAGTTTCAGCTTCTTTTGAGCCATCTTTGGTGCCTCCTCATCAGAGTTTTTCCCCTTAGAACGAGCACGGGCAGCTTTCTTCTCCTTTTGGGCCCGGCCCTCTGGAGGGATGGGGAAAAGAAATGGGCATTAAACTCTTCCACCCACGAAGACAGATACCTGTACACCAGCCCCCTTTACAGCATTAAGACACATACCCTGCCCTTTCATAGTCTCTGGTCTACACACACCCATCATCTCCTCTGAGACACCCCATCACAACCCTCCATCATCATCCCTGGGTCACCTCCTTGTCACTTGCTGGGGCTCTAGCTCCTCCTCAAACTCCAACTTCACAGTCTCTGGGCCATCTCCTGCCATCCCCCTCCCAGGCTCCCTTCCACCCCACCACTTTTGTGGTCCTGGGCCCCACTGTATTAGTTTGTGGCAGGGCCCTGGGACTCACTCTTCTTGCCCTTGCTGGAGGAGCTGTCGTAGTCACTCGATTCAATCTGCTTCTCCTTCAAGTCAGCTTCAAAACGGGCAAGGTCCGTGTCTAGCCGCCGGATGTGCTTATCCACCTGCAGGTAGGACAGTAAGCAAAAGCATTATTAGGGGATGGAATCCTGAAGGGCCGAGAAAGGACAGGGGAAGGGGCTTCAGCAGAGAGGCAACTGTAGGTGGTGCCTACAAGGGAGACAGGGTCCATGTTGGGACTGGAGCAAAGGATTTCCAAATGCTTTATAACCCCATCCAGTACCAGGAACAGGATACAGTGAGTCATGACTCCCAGCCCTTCATGCTGTAACCCTTTGTCACCACTCTGCTCCCTCTCTCTCCTTCATACCATCTCATAGGTCTGCATGGCCAGCTGAACCTTGTCATCCCCGAACTCCTTGCATTTCGCATAGGCTTCCTGAATTTGCTTGAGAAGCCCCAGTTTTTCCTCCGAAGACAGAGTCCGTGCATTGGTGATATACTCCGTGGCCAGTTTATCAATCTCTGACTTGAGGTCTGAAACAAGACCGGATTCATGGTCAAAAATATCCCAGTGCCCTCTGCTAGGAAGGGCAGATCTGGACAGCTGCAGGCTCCCTCCTCTGCCCTGTTGTCACACCACCACCTGCAAGGGAAGGAAGAGCAGGCCAGCTGCAGGCTCCCTACCTACTCACAGCACATACTCTGGGCCTCATTCCTGACACTCACCTTCTGTTCGCTGGTCTAAATCTCGCATGAGTTGGAAATTTCTCTGCAATTCAAATGGCAGGTTCTCAATGCCTGGAGAGAGAGGTAGATACATGGAGAGGTCAGGTCCCTGTCTCTGTTTCCCCAATTAAGCATTTATAATAACCAGATATAGGACTTAACATCCCCTAATTTCCCTGTCAGTCCAACTCTGATGTAATGCAGCAGCTGTTCTCTAAGATGCCAATGATTCAGTCTTGCGCCCATTGGAAGCCTAGAGTCTGGTGGGCTCACAGACGGGGTCGTTACTTTAGTAAATCTTACTGGGGTCCACTAAGTTGGCACTATCTCCAACTCCCCTCAATGCAGACATTATTAACTGGCATTATTAACTTGCAGGTAGCATGGAAAAGGTGGGTCAGGAGGAGGAGTGGGTAGTGGTCCTGATCAGAGCAAGAAGGCTCTTCCACGCATAAGATGCGGCATGAGAAGAGGTATGGGGTTGTTTATGGAACAATCTGACAACTACACAATGGTAGCGGTAGCAAAAAAAATAATAATGGAAAGCTCATGAGGGACGAAGCTGTGCAGTGGCTTAAAGGTCAGAACAAAAAGCTTGAACACGATATGGAGGAAAAAGAAGAACCAGTGGATTCAAAGGTGATTCAGGGATGATAGTCAGACCAAGATACCAGAAAGATAATCTTAGTGGCAGCATGTTGAATGGACTGAAGGTAAGTGGTGTATGTGTCCAGGCAGTCTTAAAGAAAGAAGTCACAGTAATCAAGACAATAGATATGGGGCTGTGCAAGAGTTCTGCTGAGGGAGCAGAGAGAAAAGGTACCAACTTAGAAACATCATGGAAGCAGCAGCAATATTTGGCCTGGATGTAATTCAAATACGCATGCACCAGAAGCACAGGTCCTTATCAGTAAAGATAAATGAGATATATCTTATTGTAAGCTGTACAGGACCTAGGAGAACATGGGTGAAAAATACTGATTGCATCCAGTACAAGACATTGACGACACAGACCACACTAGTCAGTTCATTACAATATAACACAGAATCATAGACATGTAGGATTGGAAGGAAGCTCAATAGGTCATCTAGCCCAGTCCCTTGTACTCATGACAGGACTACATAATAACTAAACCAGAGGTTTTCAACCTTTTTTCATTTGCAGACCCCTAAAAAACTTCTAAAGGAGGCACGACCCCTTTGGAAAACTTAGACCGTCTGCGGACCCCAGGGGTCCGTGGACCACAGGTTGAAAACCACTGAACTAGACCATTTCTGGCAGGTGTTTGTCTAAACTGCTCTTAGAAACCTCCAATGAGGGAGATTCTACAACCTCCCTAGGCAATTTGTTCCAGTGCTTAACTACCCTGACAGTTAAGAAGTTTTTTCTAATGTCGAACCTAAACCTCCCTTGCTACAATTTAAGCCCATCACTTCTTATCCTATCCTCAGAAGTTAACAATTTTTCACTCTCCTCCTTGTAACAACCTTTTATGTACTTAAAAACCATCAGTCTTCTCTTTTCCAGACTAAACAAATCAAATTTTTTTCAATCTTTCCTCACAAGTCATGTTTTCTAGACCTTTAATAATTTTTGTTGCTCTCCTCTGGACTTTCTCCAATTTGTCCACATCTTTCCTGAAATGTGGCACCCAGAACTCGACACAATATTCCAGCTAAGACCTCACCAGCACAGAGCAGAGTGGAAGAATTACTTATCGTGTCTTGCTTACAATGCTCCTGCTAATACACCCTAGAATTACGTTTGCTTTTATACCGTTCACTCATATTTATCTTGTGATCCCCTATAACCCCCAGATCCCTTTCTGAAGTACTCCTTACTAGGCAATCATTTCCCATTTTGCATGTGTGCAATTGATTGTTCCTTCCTAAGTAGAGTACTTTGCATTTGTCCTTATTGCATTTCATTCTATTTACTTCAGACCATTTCTCCAGATAATTTTGAATTTTAATCCGACCCTCCAAAGCACTTGCAACCCCTCCCAGCTTGGTATCATCCGTAAACTTTTTAAGTGTACTCTCTCTGCCATTATCTAAATCATTGATGAAGATATTGAACAGAACTGGACCCAGGACTGATCACCGCAGGACCCCACTCAATATGCACTTCCAGCTTGACTGAACCGCTGATAAGTACTCTCTGGGAATGATTTTTCAACCAGTTAGGCACCCACCTTATAACAGCTTCACCTAGGCTTTATTTTGCTAGTTTGTTTATGAAAAGGTCTAGCAAAACAGTAACAACAATCGCAGGAAAGTCAAGACATACTACATCTACCACATGCACCCTATTCATAAGGCTTATTAACCTGCCACAGAGAGCCATCCGGTTGGTTTGACATGATTTGTTCTTGACAAATCCATGTTGACTGTTACTTATCATTTTATTATCTTCTAGGTGTTTGCAAATTGATTATTACTTGATTATTTGTTCCATTATCTTTCCAGGTACTGAAGATGAATGGTCTGTAATTCCGAGGGTTGTCCTTATTCCCCTTTTTTCAGATTGACACTATATTTGCCCTCTTCCAGTCCTCTGGAATATCACCCATCTTCCATGAGTTTTCAAAGATAATCACTAATGGTTCAGATATCTCCTTAGTCAACTCCTTCAGTATTCTAGGATGTATTTCATCAGGCTCTGCTGACTTGAATACATCTAACTTGTCTAAGATAATCCTAAAACTGTTTTACATTAAATAAATAATAAAATAATAGTGCTTTTCATGCAACCAACTCAAAGCACTGAACTGCTTGAAGTGCCACAAAGAAGGATTAATTTCCCCATTTTACAGATGGGAAAACAGAGGTCGAGATGGGAAGAGACTTGTCCAAGGTCATAGAGCAAATTGGGGAAAAGCTGGGAATAGAATACAGGAATCTTGACTCCAAGTCCCCTGCTCTTTAGTCTATTCTGCCTGCTACATTATAACATAATTCAGTTGTCTCTCTCCAGGTCCTGGAAGTTCTGAAACACAATGTATATTGTAACTACCAAATATTATTACAGTAACAGACATGCTGCAAGACTCAAAAGTCAGTATTCCATGATTCTTTTTCAGCATTACTTCTTACTAGTGTTGTTGATTAATTGCAGTTAACTCATGCGATTAACTCAAAAAAATTAAATGCGACTAAAAAAATTAATCGCATTGTTAAACAATAGAATACCAATTGAAATTTATTAATATTTTCAGATGTTTTTCTACATTTTCAAATAAATATATTGATTTCTATTACAGTTCAATACAAAGTGTACAGTGTTCACTTTATATTATTTTTTATTACAAATATTCACACTGTAAAAATGATAAAGAAATAGTATTTTTCAGTTCACCTCATACAAGTACTGTAGTGCAATCTCTTTATTGTGAAAGTGTAACTTACAAATGTAGATTTTTTTTTGTTACATAACTGCACTCAAAACCAAAACAGTGTAAAACTTTAGAGCCTACAAGTCTACTCAGTCCTACTTCTTGTTCAGCCAATTGCTAAGACAAACAAATTTGTTTACATTTATGGGAGATACTGCTGACTGTTTCTTATTTACAGTGTTACCTGAAAGTGAGAACAGGCATTTGCATGGTACTTTCGTAGCCACATACCAGATGTGCTAAACATTCATATGCCCCTTCAAGCTTCGGCCACCATTCCAGAGGACATGCTTCCATGCTGATGATGCTGTGACGAAGTGGGACTGTTGTTAATGTTTCCTCTGAATAGTGTGGAGGTGCCTCAGCTTCCCCTATGCAGTTCTTAAGTATTTAGGTGGTGGAGTAAGGGTGTATGATCATTGCAGAACCCTAGAGGGCAGGTGTGTGCAGGGGTCTGGACACAGAGAATGGCCAACACCCTGTTTCCTAGCAACTGATGGCCTGGGCCCCCCCCCCCCCCCCGCAAGGTGAGAGCTAAAGAGTTGGAGAACAAAGGAATCAGGTGACCTCCTGGCCCGGGAAAAGGGAAAGCCCAGAGGAGGAGGGGCTGGAGGAAGCTTCAGTTTGGGGCTGGCTGGGACATGGAGTGAAGTGCAGACGTGGTTGTCTGGCTCACTGCCCCCCAAAATGGACCCAGCTGAGGGGTCCTGTTCTCTGCACCTGCAAGCTCTGTTTTAGACCATGGTCCCTGTTGTCTAATAAACCTCTGTTTTACTGGCTGGCTGAGAGTCACGTCTGACTGCGGAGTTGGGGTGCAGGACCCTCTGGCTTCCCCAAGACCCTGCCTGGGCGGACTCGCTGGGGGAAGCACACGGAGGGGCAGAGGATGCTGAATGCTCCGAGGTCAGACCCAGGAAGGTGGAAGCTGTGTGAGCTTTGTGTCCTGAAGACAGACTGCTCACAGAAAGGAGACTTCCCCAGAGTCCTGACTGGCTTCATGGGGAGCAGTTCCAGAGCATAGCCCAGGGACTCCATGACAGATGCTCATTAAAAAAATAATATGTTCATTAAATTTGTGACTGAACTCCTTGGGGAAGAATTGTATGTCTCCTGTTCTTTTTTACTCATTTCATGTTATAGCAGTATTGGATGATGACCCAGCACATGTTCATTTTAAGAACACTTTCACAGCAGATTTGACAAAACGCAAAGAAGGTACCAGTGTGAGATTTCTAAGGATAGATATAGCATTCAACCCAAGGTTTAATAATCTGAAGTGCCTTCCAAAATCTGAGCAGGACAAGGTATGGAGAATACTTTCAGGTGTCTTAAAAGAGCAACACTCCGACATGGAAACTACAGAACCTGAACCACCAAAAAAGAAAATCAACCTTCTGCTGGTGGCATCTGACTCAGATGATGTAAATGAACATGCGTCGGTACGCTCTGCTTTGGATCGTTATCGAGCAGAATCCGTCATCAGCATGGATGCATGTATTCTGGAATGGTGGCTGAAACATGAAGGAACATATGAATCTTTAGCGCACCTGGCACATAAATATCGTGCAATGCCAGCTACAACAGTGCCATGTGAATGCCTGTTCTTAATTTCAGATGACACTGTAAACAAGACACGGGCAGTATTATCTCCTGCAAACTGTAACCAGACTTGTTTGTCTGAGTGATTGGCTGAAGTAGGACTGAGTGGACTTGTAGGTTCTAAAGTTTTACATTGTTTTATTTTTGAATGAAGTTATTTTTTGTACATAATTCTACATTTGTAAGTTCAACTTTCATTATAAAGAGCACTACAATACTTGTATTAGATGAATTTAAATATACTATTTCTTTTGTTTTTTACAGGGCAAATACTTGATATCAAAAATAAATATAAAGTGAGCACTGTACACTTTGTATTTTGTGTTGTAATTGAAATCAATGTATTCGAAAAAGTAGAAAACATCCAAATATATTTAAATAAATGGTATTCTATTATTGTTTAACGGTGTGATTAATCTTTTTTAATCGCTTGACAACCCTACTTCTTACCCATAGCCATGGAGGTTCTCTTGGACTCCTCTTACTGGGGAAACTGTTGGGGGGAAAAGCCCACTTTCTTCTGTGACTGGACAAAAGACTGTGCTGCATGCAATAAAACTCAGTGACCCAGCCACTCAAGACCACCAAGCTTGATTACTACTATCCATATCTAGAAATGAAATCACATGACCTGAAAAAACTCCAGTTGGTAAGAAATGCAGCAACTTGTGTGCACAACAACATAGGACACCATGAAAACATCTCCATTCTGCACTGACTCTCCATTGAATTCAGAATCTGGATCAAGGTCTCCATTGTGATATTCAAAGCCCTCTACAGGATTGGTCACAACATGACAGACTGCCCCACCTTTCATGACCATGCATTCCCACAACAGAAATAATCAAAACTAAGACAATTAAGCTGCCAACTATTGGGGAAGGCTTGTGAATGCAAAAGACAGAATTCTCAAAAAAACTGGACCCAAACTACGGAACTCACTCTGGCAAGAGAGAAGAATGACTACAGCTGACTTGGACTTGCAGGGCTCAGGCTGCAGGGCTATAAAAGTGCTGTGTAGACATTACATCTACTGCAGGGAAACGGGCTCTGGGACCTCCCCATTCACAGGGTCCCAGGACTCAGGCCCCAGCCCAAGCCCAAACCATCTAAACCACAATTTTGCAGCCCTGCGAGTGTAAGTCAGCTGACCTGGTGCAACCGTGGGTGTTTAATTGCTGTGTAGACATACCCACTCTGTTCAGAACCTGTTTGTTCAACTTCAATTTCATCATGCAGACACAAAAACAACCACTTACACACAAGCAAACGTCCTTACAAACAATGCAAAGTATTTCTTCTAGAGGCTGGGAAGGAACTGAAGGGGAATTTGTTACTATTATTTCTATTTTAAATAGCTAGGAGAGGCTCAGCTTCTATGGGCCATTTAAGTATCTAAATAGAAGGAAAAGTTTTCATGGTATTATTCCAAAGATTACATATAAATGGGGTGGGGTGGGGGGCGGAGGACTACATTAAAAGAAAGATAACATTGCACAGTTAAGCATTCAAAAGTTAGGAAAAGCCAGACTTAAGATTGCCTCTGTAACCTCAGTCTATCCTCTTTGTACATATGTATTATGCCACAGTCTTTAATTACATGATCACATACTATTTGTCTCACAAAATGCCTGCCTCATTCAGTGCACATGATGGATAGTGCTCACTGAATGAATTCTTTTCATCCTCATTTAATGTGTGGCCCCAGACCTTATTTACTGCACTATTAGTCAAACTATACTTTGAATACAGAATTATTAATTTCCTCGTGGGCTTTGCTATAGCACTCATCACTGAGTGCTTCACAGTGTATCTCCACCCCACTGCTGTCAGGTCCAGGTAGGTATTATAATTGCCATTCTACAGATCGGGAACTGAGGTTCAGAGAATTTAAGGACAAAAGGTATCCATTCATTTTGGGTGCTCAATTTGAGACACCCAGAGCCTGGTACATCAATCACAATACTTAGCATTTTTATAGCACTTTATATGTTCAAAGTGCAGCTCCCATTGACTTCAGCTGCAAGTGCTTACCACATATGCAAATGAGACCCCAGGATCTCAAGTTGGGCACCTAGAAAATGAAGGACACATAATTAGTGACCACCTGCAAAAAGTCTTAATTTAATTACATAGGAACTCCGTGGCAAAGACAAGAATAGAATCCAATGACTAAACCATAAGACCATCCTTTCCTCTTCCTGCAGTCCACTGCCTCATTCACTATACACCTTCCAACTTCTGTAACAAATGTGGCAGGGGTGCCATAGACAACAATCTCATTCACTACACAACCCTGGTCCATTCCCAGAGGAGGCTCAGCTTGTGCATTGAATGATGGAGGGATCCTGTGGAAAAAACAACATGACCCTGTAATTAAAGACTGTACCATGATTGTGACAAAGCTCTGTCCTTGTCTCTGTGGGTCCCGCGTTTCCTGGCGGATTTAGCTAGCCTCAGAGGCTCACTGTGACCCTCCATGTAACCCTTCTCTCTCTAGAGACAAGAGTCACAGTCTACTGAGCCATTTTCACCCTAAGCCAGCGAGGGAGGTGACAAGAAGCTATCATCCCTTGCACAATCTCTGTTGTCTCCCAGTCTCAGTGATTAATTGGGGGGGGGGGCAAAAGGGGGAGCCCGGGCCCGCCCTCTACTCCGGGCTCCAGCCCAGGGACCCTAATAGTATCAGCTATGGTAACTGACCTTTTAGAAACATGACACGTACAATTCCCTGGGCTACTTCCCCACAGCAGCACCCACTTCCTCAAGCTCCACTTCACCCTTACCTCAGGGCCTCCTTCCTTGTGCCTGATATGGTGTGTACTGCTCAGTCTCTCCAACAGCGCAACTTCCTCCCACGGCTCCTTACATCCGCCCCCACCTGACTAACTGGGAGGCTTTTAACTAGTTTCAGCCAGCCCCTGATTAGCTTCAGGTGTCCCAATCAACCTACCGTTCTCCCTGCCTTCTGGAAAGTTCTTAATTGGCCACAGGTGTCTTAACTGACCTGGAGCAGCTGTCATTTCACTTATCCTGGTACCAGGGATTTGTTTAGCCTGGAGCTAATGTATCTATTTCCCACTACTTTTCTATAGCCATCTGGCCTTGCCCCGTCACATATCCCCACCCCTCTGCTCAACACCATAGAGTTGGGCAACTTGGGACGCCGGGCAGTATGCTCGTGATAGACCATCAGCGTTGCCATGGTGGCATCCAGCCCTGTGCCATATGCGGAATTGGAACGGTTGGAGGGATAAGAACCACCTGGTGACCCTTCCATTCTCTTCCTTATTCCACTGCATCCACTGGAGGGGTGCATGGTCTGTCACAAGAGTAAATCGCTGGCCTAGGAGGTAATAACACAGTGTCTCCATAGCCCATTTGACAGCAAGGCATTCTCTCTCGACTACTGCGTATTTCTGTTCTCTCGGGAGAAGCTTTCTGCTTAGGTAGAGGATCGGGTGTTCCTCTTCTCCCACCATTTGCAACAGAACCGCCCCCAACCCTACCTCAGAAGCATCTGTTTGTAAAATAAATTCCTTGCTAAAGTCCGGGGCTATGAGTACGAGGTCATTACAGAGAGCCGTCCGAAGGTCTGTGAATGCCCCCTCTGCTGCTTTGGTCCACTTTACCATGTCTGGACTTCGGGCCTTCACCAGGTCAGTTGGGGACTTGCCCTAGGGGCGAAGTGGGGAATAAAATGTCGGTGGTAGCCTACCACACCTAGGAACACTCAGACCTGATTCTTTCAGGTCGGCCAGGGCCAGTTTTGAATTGCCTCTAGCTTATTCGTTTGGGGCTTCACTATGCCCCTTCCCACAATATATCCCAGGTACCTAGCCTCTGCTAGCCCTATGGAGCATTTAGCAGGATTAGCAGTGAGGCCAGCCAGCCTTAAGGTGCGCAGTACTGCCTCAACTTTCTCCAAGTGAGTTCCCCAGTCTGGCATATGGATGATGACATCGTCTAGGTATGCAGCTGCATAACCAGTATGAGGGCGCAGCAGCTTATCCATGAGGCGCTGGAATGTGGCCAGGGCCCATGTAACCCAAAAGGGAGGACGGTATACTGGAATAGCCTGTCCGGGGTGGAGAACGCTGTCTTTTCTTTAGCTTCTTTGGTCAGAGGAATCTGCCAGTACCCTTTTGTCAGATCCAGTGTAGTCAAGAATCAGGCACTACCCAGTCGGCCAACCAGTTCGTCGATGCGTGGTATGGGGTATGCATCAAACTGGGATATTTCATTCAGGGGGCGAAAGTCGTTACAGAATCTCATGGTACCGTCAGGTTTAGGCACTAGAACAATTGGACTGGACCACTGACTGTAAGATTCTTCAATAACCCCTAATTCTAACATTTTCTTTACTTCGGCCTTGATTTCTTCTCTTTTGGCTGCTGGGATTCGGTAGGGTCTCAATGTTACCTTGGTTCTGGGGATCGTGCGGATATGGTGATAGGTCTCAGTCATCCGCCCTGGTATTGTAGAGAACACATCTCGGTTGCGATTAATCATGTCGGCTGCCTTGATCTTTTGGATCGGCATCAAGTCGGATGATATCCTCACTTGCTCGTGTAAGTTATGCTCCAGGAGAAGGGTCTCCTGCATGACTAAGCATGCCTCTCGATCGTACCAAGGTTTTAGAAGATTGATGTGGTAAATTTGCTCTGGTTACTGGCGGCCTGGCTGCCGCATCTTATAGTTCACCTCTCCCATGGCTTTGATTACTTTGTAGGGTCCCTGCCACTGGGCCAACAGTTTACTTTCTGCTGTGAGCACCAGTATCATCACCCGATCCCCTGGTTGGAACAGTCAAAGCTTTACTTGGTGGTTATAATGGGTTCGTTGGGTCTCCTGTGCTCTCTCCAAGTGTTCCTGTACAATGGGCGTAACTCGGGCTATGCGATCTCTCATCTACAGTACATGCTCAACTATGTTCCTTCCAGGATTTGGCTCCTCTTCCCAGGCTTCTCTGGCTACATCCAATATGCCCCAGGGGTGGTGCCCATATAGTAGTTCAAATGGAGAGAAACCTGTGGAGGCTTGCGGAATCTCCCGGATGGCGAACATGAGGTAAGGCAATAGGGTATCCCAATCTTTCCCATCCCGGCTCACCACTTTCCTGATCATGGCCTTGAGGGTCCTATTGAACCTTTCCACAAGGCCATCTGTTTGCGGGTGGTATACAGAGGTCCTTAGGGCTTGTACATGGAGCAATGAACAGAGATCTTTCATCAACTTGGACACGTAACGTGTCCTTTGATCAGTCAATATCTCCTTGGGTAGCCCAACTCGGGCAAAGATCTGTACTTAGCTCCTTAGCTATTGTCTTGGAAGCTGTGTTGTGTAGGGGAACAGCTTCTGGGTATCAGGTTGCATAGTCCAGTACAACAAGCACATGTTGGTAGCCCCGAGCTGTCTTCACGCCCTACCAGATCCATGGCTATCCGTTCGAAAGGAACCTCTATTATTGGAAGAGGTATCAAAGGAGCCCGCAAGTGCGGGCGAGGTCTATGTAACTGACACTCCGGACAAGAGGCGCAGTATCGCCGGACATCTTCATGTACTCCTGGACAGAAGAACCTCCGCAAGATCCATGCCTGGGTTTTCTCTACCCCTAGGCGTCCTCCAAATAGGTGACTGTGGACAAGACTCAATACGGCTTTTTGATGTTTTCGTGGCACCAGAAGTTGTATCTCTTGCTCCTGCATTTGCACCATGCGGAACAGGAGATCTTTCTTCACTATAAAGTAAGGTCCGGGACTCCGGACCTTCCCATCCATGGGTATCTCATCGATCTCAGCCACCTCTTTCCTGGCGTTATCATATCTGGGGTCCTCTGCCTAGTCCCACCCAAAAGTCTCTCTCCCAGGACTAACCTGCCCAAGCTCCCAGAGGCCAGCTTCTGCTTCTTCCAACGGCTCGCCACCGTCATGGCTGGGGCCAGCCTCTGGCTCACCTTCTGTGGTGGAAGTTTCTCGGTTGGCTGCTCACATCCATCTGCCTACTCGGGAGGTCTTCTGGCCCTGGGTCAGGATCCGGGTTCCCAAGGCCTTCACAACTTTCCTCTCTTTTTTTTGTCTTCCGGGTCTTTTTGGGGGCTGAGAACAGATCCTGAGAAATCTCAGTGAACACAGGGGGTTGACATTCCCCCGGTGATGAGTCGCTGTCCTCCAGCCTCCCCGGAGGAAGTAAATTGTCAAACCCTGGATAGTCCCTCCCAATGACTACAGGATATGGGAGTTTAGGAACTACGCCCACAGTCACCTCAATGGGGTTCCCCTGAACCTCTATCTCCACCGGAATGGTGGGGTAACGGCTCACAGCCCCATGCATGCACATCACTGCTACACGTTTGGTTTGTAGCAGCTGACTACTTTTTACCAGCTTACCCGATATGAGGGTGATAGCACTCCCAGAATCCACAAGCGCTGTAGTCTCTGCTCCATTTATCCTCACTGGCCTGGTGTAATTATGCGGGGCTAATGCGACCCCCACGAGGTGGATAAGGGAGCATGGGACCTCCCAATCCCTCAAGTTACATTGCATAGGCTCCTTGGTGCTGGGACTCTGTGCTGCTATGTGTCCCTATCCCCACATGCATAACATCTATAATTGCTTTTAATCACTACCCTATCCCGCGGGTTAGGGGGTTTAGTCCCGGGGTTCCCCCTACTCAAGACAGTCCCTTCCTTCTGGGGTCCCAGCTGGTTTTCGGCCCCCCCACTTCTTCCACCTAGGACTCACCGGGGTTTGGCTGCCCAACCTTCCAGGGTTGGGATCGGGTACTTGCTTCGAAAGGGGCCTTCCTTGGGTAGTCAGGTCAGTTCCCTGGCTGTCATCCGTCTTTCTACCAGCAAGATCATCTTGTCGTACGTGGACAGATCGTTCTGGCCTATCCATTTGTGGAGATCTGGTGGCAGTCCCTGCACGTAATGGTCCATGACCAGGGTCTCCAAAATCTCCTCCGGGCTGTACACCTCGGGCTGTAACCACTTCCACATGAGGTGTATGAGGTCGAATAGTTGGCTCGGGGGTTTGTTCTCCTGGTATTTCCACTCACGTAACCTCTGGGCC